CCCCCCCCCCCCCCCCACCCCTAGTCCTTAGAAACAACACTCCTATTTTCTCTCTATATAGATTTTTCCATTCTAGACTTTCAGGAATAAAATCATATAATATGTAGACTTTTGTGACAAATTTCTTTCCCTTAGCATAATGTTTTCAAAGTTTATCCATGTAGTAGTGTGTGTCAGGCTGCCACTCCCTTTTATGACTGAATAATAATCCATTGATGGATATACCCCACTTTATTTATGGTTAGTCTGTTAGTGACATTTGGCCATCATGAATGATGCTGCTGTAGACATCACGTCCAAGTTTCTGTATGGACATATGTTTGCATTTCCCTTGGATATATACCTAGGAGTGGAATCGCTGGGTCATATGATAACCCTATAATTAATCACTTGTAAAACTGCCAGACGGTTTTCCAAAGCAGCTGCGCCATTTCACATTCCGACCAGCAGTGGAGGAGGGTTCTGATCTCTCTACGTCTTTACCAACAATTGTTACTGTCGACTTTGATTCCAGCCGTCCTAGTGGGTGTGAAGTGGTGTATCACTGTGGTTTTGATTTGCATTTTCCCTGATGACTAATGATGTTGAGCATCTTTTCATGGGCTTAGTGGCCATTGATATATCTTCTTAGAAGAAATGTCAATTCAGATCATTTACCCATTCTTTTTTCTTTCTTTTCTTTTTTTTTTTCTTTTCACTTTTTTTTTACTGTGGCAAAATACACATAACATAAAATTTACCATCTTAACCATTGGTAAGTGTACAGTTCAGCGGCATTAAATACATTCACATTGTTGTACAACCAACATCACCATCCACCTCCAGAACTATTTTCATCTTGCAAAATTGAAATTCTGTACCAATTAAACACTAACTCCCCATTCACCTCTCCTCCCAGCCCCTGGCACCCACCAGTCTACTTCTGTCTCTATGGTTTTGACTACTGTAGGTGTCTCATATAAGGGCAATCACACAGTATTCGTACTTTTGTGACTGGCTTATTTCACTTAGCCTAATGTCCTCAGGGTTCAACCATGTTGCAGTATGTATCAGAATTTCCTTCCTTTTTACAGCTGAGTAATATTCCATTGTATGTATAGACCACATTTATTTATCCATCCATCTGCAATGGATACTTAGGTTGCTTCCATCACTCGACTATTGTGAATACCGCTGCTATGAACATGGGTGTACAACTGTCTCTTTCAGACCCTGCTTTTGGGGTCCAGAAGTGGAATTGCTGGATCATATGGTAATTCTATCTTTAACTTTTTGAGAAATCGTCATACTGTTTTCCACAGTGGCTGTACCATTTTACATTCCCACCAATAGTACATAAAGGTTCCAATTTCTCTACATCCTTGCCAATATTTGTTGTTCTCTGTTTTTTCTTTTTTAAAAATACTAGCCATCCGAATATGTGCGAGGTGGTATCTCATCGTAGTTTTGATTTCACTTCCCTAATGATCAGTGATGTTCAGGCTCATTGGCCATTCTCACATCTTCTTTAGAGAACTGCAAGTTCCAGTTCTTTGCCCATTTTTGAATTGGGTTGTTTGATTGTTTTTGTTGTTGAGTTTTAGGAGTTCTCTATATATTCTGAATATTAATCCTTTATCAGATACATGATTTGCAAATATTTTCTCCCATTCTATGGGTTGCTTTTTAATTCTGTTGATAGTGTCCTTTGATATACAAAATTCTAAAATTTTCATGAAGTCCAATTTGTTTATTTATTTTTGTTGTCTGTGCCTTTATGTCACATCCATGAAATCATTGCCAAATCCAATGTCTTGGAGCTTCTGCCCTGTGTTTTCCTCTAAGAGTCTTATAGTTTTAGGTCTTACATTTGGGTCTTTGATCCATTTTGAGTTAGTTTTTGTATATTGTGTTAGCAGGGATCGCAGCTTCATTGTTTTGCATGTGGAGATCCAGTTTTCCCAGGACCATTTGTTGAAGAGACTAGCCTTTCCCCACTGAGTGGTTTTGGCACCCTGGCCAAAAGTCATTTGGCCTCATCTGCGAGGGTTTATCTGTGGACTGTCTATTCCAGTCCATTGGTCTCTATGTCTGTCTTTATGCTAGTACCATGCTGTTTTGATGACTATAACTTTGTAGTAAGTTTTAAACTCAGAAAGCGTGAGTCCTCCAACTTTGTTCTTCTTTTTCAAGATTGTTTTCGTTATTCTGGTCCTTTGAGATTCCTTATGAATGTTAGGATGGATTTTTCTGTTTCTACCAAAAATGTTGGGATTGCGACAGGGATTACGTTGAATTGTAGGTTGCTTTGGGTGGTATTGCCATCTTAATATGGAGTCTTCCAATCCACGAGCACAGGACGTCTTTCCATTTATTATGTTTTCTTTAATTTCTTTCAGCAATGTTTTGTAGTTTTTGGCGTAAAAGTCTTTCACCTCCTTGGTTAAGTTAATTCCTAAGTATTTTATTCTTTTTGATGCTGTTGTGAATGGAGCTGCATTCCTACTGTCCTCTTTGGATTGTTCATGGTTTGTGTGTAGAAATGCAGCTGACCTTGTGTGTTGATTTTGTATGCTGCTGCTTTGCTGAATTCATTTATACTGGGAGACTGCTCCTGGCCAGACCTCCCACTGTCTTCTTCAAGTGTGGTCTGCCCCGTGAGTGTCCTGGCCCAGGGTTGGGGGGTGCTGCTGAACCTCAGCGACCAGGGCAGAGGCCAGCAGGGCGGAGGGAAGCTGTGAACTGCCTCCTGGCACCCCACCCCCACCTCAGGCGTTCATTTATTCAGGAGAAATTCGTGGGCAGCACCATACTAGGCTCTAGAACTGAGTGACCAGGAATGTGCAGCATGGTCCCTCCATCCCAGCCAGGCCCACCCTCCAGTGGGCACTTGGAGCTCCTCTACAGAACTCTGGGCTCCCTCCTGGTGGGAGTGCAGGATTCTGGGGGCTGTCTTGGGGAGGGGTGGTGAGGAAGGGAAGTGGCCTGAGGTGCTGACATGGAGGCCGAGCCGGGTTTCCAGGGGAGAGAAGCACATTCTGGACTGAGGACCACCATGCAAAGGCCTGAAGGTGGGAGGGGCATGGGAGCCTACAGACCCCAGTGGGGCAGTGCAGGACAGCTGGATCCTAAGGGGCAGGGGAGGAGCAGGAGAGAGAAGGCCAGTGTGAGTGGGGGAGCTCACCATGGGCCCTGGTTGCTGAAGGTGGGGGAGGCTGTGGCTCACTTCTGGAGGGGTGAACAGAGGAAGGGACTGAACTGGCGGGCCATCGAAGGTAACTGGGGACTTTGCAGGCACCATCTCTGAAAGCATGGGGTGCCCCGGGGAGGCTGCCCCTCCAGCTCAGATGGCTCGAGTGGGCTATCTGACTCCGAGTGGAGCGTGTACTCTTCCTCCTGCCTGTGGGTCGCGCTAACCCTCCCTCGCGTCCCTCACAGGTCCGGACAAAGGACAGAGTCTTCGACAGCATCAGCCACCTCATCCACCACCACCTGGAGAATAGCTTGCCCATCGTCTCCGCCGGGAGCGAGCTCTGCCTCCAGCAGCCGGTAGAGAGGAACCAGTGACCCGCCAGCCGCCCGATCCCAACGCTGAGCTGCCGTCAGGGGACTCGGCTCTTCCGGGTAGACGGTATCGGGCTCCCGTGCTGGGGCAGCTGCCCACAGGCTCAGAGCCTTGTTCAGCAGCTCCAGGAGGAAGGCTTCTGAAAAGTACAAGTTTCATAAACTTGTTCCGATTTCTCATGTGCATATTGACGGTGTACATACCTATACATCCTGTACAAATTAGCCCTCTATATTTATATTTTCTAAGACTAAGAAAGATGTAAGATTAATGTTCTGTGCTGTATGTTTTTTAATGAAAAAAAGCGTTTGACTGTAGCTGTCCAGGAGAAAATTTAATTCGACTGACCCATTCCACTGGGAAATTCCACTGCGAAGGTGTTACCTGCAGTTTTACCCAATAAGCACAATATGAGGAATAGAAGCAAGCAGGACGGTCGGTAATCATCACGGGATTGTGACAGCATGAGGCAAGACCCTGCCCAGAGAGGCCCGCTCTGCAGGTGGAGCACTGAGTGCGCTGTGCTGACGGCCGCCGCTCCTGCTCCTCCGGGCCGCGGCGCCTCCTCCTCGCCCCTGGGGCTCTGCCGCTCACCTGTCTGCACGGGTGCCCCCCAGCGGATGGCTCTCCGGCATTAAGGAGCAGGCATCATGCCAGCTGTTTCCAGCTGTGCTGACCACAGGTGTGCTGTCCCCCTTGGCCCTAGTTGACCAGGGGTTCTTGGGGATTCACCCTACTGCCAAATATGGCACAAAATAAGCCTCCCTGGTCAGGATCTTGACCGGCAAATAATTCCCTTGTTTTTATCTGTATAATGGCAAAACGAGTATGTGCACTGCGTGGCTGGGGCAGAGTCTTGGTTGTATGTCCTTCTAGCCAACAGGCTGCCGCAGGAGCTGCTAGTCAAATTGTTGCCCCTTACAGCCAATAGAGAAAAAAGCTTGTGTACAAGCTGTGCTGAAGACAGACACAAACACGTGTGCTCAGAGTTCAGTCCTGGAGACGTTTGCACCGGCCGCTCCCCCTGGCTCTACATTTGCCGGAAGCTGGGGACCAGGCTCAGGATTAGGGGGAATCAGCTGGAGGTTCTCCTTCTAGAGCGATCAGTGGGTAAAGTGACTGGTTGTCTCGACAGCACGTTTCCTGTCGCTCCATGGGAAGGGGCTGTGCCCCACACATGGGCTTTATCTTGGCTCCTTCCTTCCTTCGAGACAAAATACTGTGGTTTCCTGCTGGGCATGGGATGTTGGGGAGTTGCACTGTTTAAGATGTTTAACAAATATCTAGTTGAGATGACCATGTGATTTAACAGAGATTGTCTTTTAAAAGATAGAAGCATTCATTCACTGGCACCTTCCAACGGGTGTGACACTAGCCCGCCTCCCGGTGAAATGCCCCGGCGTGCGACACCCCTTGATCAGTGCCACAGAAAGACACTCTGTGCACGCTGAGTCGGACAGTCATAAATTGGATGCTTCAAGAGTGAGGAGTTAAGGGTAGATTTAAAAAATTCTGCTGAGTACTCATTCTGCAAAGTTCGAATGCTAACTGCACGAACCCCATTTCTACTTTTGGGGTGTGTGTGGCCAGGATGAAAGGATGGGGTAGAGCTGATGGGTGAGGATGGGTCGGGGCAGGTTGAAGCCTTCACATATAGCCCTCTGTGGGGTTTTTGTCCTTTGAGCATCCAGTGAATCCAAGTGACAGGGGCTTCAATCTTCTAGAATGTTCTGCAGTAGATTGGGGCGGATCTGGACCACACTGCCTCTTCCTGGAATGGTTCTAATTTCAGAAGCAGTGTGGATACACTGCTCCAAGTTATCCAGAAGCAGTGGGTGGCAAACAGGAATTTGGGGCAGCAGCTGGCTCAGGCTCTGGCCCTGTGACATCATAGACTTTGGGGTGGCTGCGAGAACGGCCCAGCACTCTATCTCCTAGAGGCCCACAGCCCTGCAGACGTGCGTAAAGGTCTGACCTCTGTGGGAACACGTGGTCCTTCTCCGTGTGTGAGTGTACACACATATAAAAATGGATGAAACGACTTTTCTTCCAACATCTTGCATGCCCTGCTGTGTAAGGCCGAGATGCTGATGCTAAAGGCAAGAATAAATTAGGAAACGAGACTTAGGAACAGTGAGCACCTGAACGTTTGATCTGCTTTCTTTTTCCTCTTGGGGATGTGAGAAATGGTAATCCGTGGTTTTAGTAGCTCTCTGCTCTGAAGTCGGCGTTTAGCTCAGTGGTGATAAGCAATATATATCATGTTTTCTTGCATGAGAATCAATTTAGAAAATTAAAAGTATTGGGGGATCAAACTTTGTTTCAATATTAACTCAAAATATGTATTTTTAAGCTCATATGGCAAGACTGCTGACAATGGAACGGTGCCGGTGGGAAAATCGGCACTCTTCTGTGGCCACGGGAGCAGATCAAAGACAGGGCAGAGGGCAGTGACTGTCGTGTCTCTGTTCCTGTCATTTGTAAAGCGTGCTAGAGCTGGCATGAATATCTCACCTCTTCCTTCAGGCACCGTGTGATGGGCATTACTGTGAGCCTCACTCACAGACAGGGAAACTGAGGCTCAGATCGGAGGCCTCTTTGCTCCAGGCCATGCAGCTGGCAGGCAGCAGAGCTGTTCCGCTCACGCAGCGTCCCCGACTCTGCTGCCCTTGGAGCTCAGGATTCCCAGGCTGACATGACAGGCTGCTCTCTGCCCAGCCTGGGTCCCCACCCTGTGCTTCCTTGGAGCTCAGGATTCCCAGGCTGACATGACGGGCTGCTCCCTGTCCAGCCTGGGTCCCCACCCTGTGCTTTCTTGGAGCTCAGGATTCCCAGGCTGACATGACGGGCTGCTCCCTGCCCAGCCTGGGTCCCCACCCTGTGCTTTCTTGGACCGCATCCCAGCCTGGGCAGGGCTGTGCACGCCAGGATCTCTGACTCCCATGGCATGGTGGCTGCGCCCTGTGCCGGGTCACCCTGGGCCCACGGAACACTGGGGCCTGCTGCCCCTCTCCTGAGCCCCCCACTCAACCCAGGCCTCCTCTGAGTGTGCTGGGAGCACCGGCAGGTCCTTGTAGAGTGGCCCTGGGGACCCCATCCACCTCTGCTCCCACCCTCACCATCCAACGTGAATTAGCTGTGCTTCCTGTGACGTTCTCGTCCCACTGAGAGCCTGTGGGGCTCTCGGGCTGCTCACCGCTGGTCTCAGTCGGCTTTGACGCTCGACGACCAAGGAGCCTGAATGGCCGTGGGCAGCCTGACAAACAATAGGCATTCACACAGCTCCTAATCCAAATCCCGTGCCGAAGCTTCCACTCTTGGGCATTTTATATTTGAGAGGCCAAAGGACCAGGTGCCCACTCAGCCTTGGCTATTGTTTCATTTGGGCAACAATTCTGTTTAGGGCCGTCTTGGGTGTTGGAGTGGATGGACAGAAGCCCACTTGGGGCACATATGGTGGCCTGAGGGTCTCCTGGTGGAGGAGGGCAGCACGGATAATTTCCAGTGAGGAGAGAAACTGGCAAGCCTTGTGTGGAGAAAAGGCCTGGCTTAGAAGGAGGGACAGGCCGGGGGAGGAGTGGATGGAGCAGCACTTGGTGTGGCCCCCAAAAGAGCCCCCTCGGTGCTCAGGAGTCAACACCTGTCTCCTGGCTCTGTGCCCTCCTGGGGTCCTGACGATGCCCCTGACCAGTCGCCACATGAAGGCCAGTCACGTGTTTCCTTGGATTACAGGCTCCCGGACAGTGGGTGGACGCCTTGGTCCATCCTCGGCTCCGGCACGCACAGAGCCAGTTGGCCTTGCGTTAGGTGCTGGGTTTCTCTGAGCAGTGGCTGGTCACCTGCACTGCAGGGCTGTGCAGCCCCCATTGTGAGGAGTGGGGTTGGTGAATATGTGTCAACATGCAGCACGGGTGTTTCCTGGGGTGCTTCACCCACAGAAGTGCGTTGGCTCCCTCTCGCTGGCCTTGTGGGTGCCGCTGCCATCTACACATGCCCTGCTCTGAGTAGGGACAGCTGGCTTGGAAATGGGGGGAAGTGTGGAAAGATTAGAAACAGTAACCACAGGACGCAGACCAATCTTGGCCTTGGGTTTCAGAATAATACCCTGGTTCTGTAGGGAAACCTTTAAAATCGATCCTGAGAAAGAAGCAGCAGAAAAACCCCTTTACTGGGACATGAACTGTCACTGGTCCCAGAGAAGGATACACAAGGGAGCATCATGGGACCTGCAGCTGCAAGGACCCACTTTCCAGCGAGGAAACTGGAGCCAGGTGACTTCTCAGAGGGTAGCAGCGGCCAGTGGCTGAATCTAGGATAGATCGCAGGACTCATTAGGACCCTTGAGGGCTGATACATAAATCTCAGCGCCTGATGGAAAATGGCAAGTAGCTCTTCCGTCCTTGGGCTTACATTTTATCCATCTTCTTTCCAAAATGCACAAAGGTGTGAGTCAGTCCCACCGACGGGGAAGTGTTTCCAGTCCTCTGTGTAGTGCGGGGGCCTTAGGAAACAGACCCCGAGAGAGGATCTGAGTGTGTGTAGTTTCTCCGGGTGATGAGCCAGGGCTGGGGAAGGGGGAGAAACTGATGAGAAGGGCATGATCAGCACGTGGCCAGCATGTGGATAACGCCTGGAGCTGGGGCCCGAGGGGGAGGACTGGACGCGCCTCCAGGCAGGGAGAAAGCCGGGCTCTTCCCCACCTGCCCAGCATGGGTGGAGTGCTGCTTCTGGCCACAATGTCCTGGCCAGCCCCGTGCACACCTGTGCACACCCCCTGAGCCAGGGCATCCTCGGGCAGAGACGGGCCTTCCTGCTAAGCAGGCTTGGGGTGGCGGGCAGCCTCAGAGCCATCGGGGCCTCCCCAGGGTCCCTGACTCGGCAGGTCCGGATGTGGCCTGAGAATTTGCATTTCTAATAAATTGCCAATGATGCTGGTGGGCACCATCAAGTGGTAGCTGCCAGCTCTTCCTGCCCCTTACTGATGGCTTTCCCCCCCTAATTTATGATTGTGTTTTCAGGCCACTTCACGTCATGGGTCCCAGGGTCCATGCTGTGAGTTTAAAAGTGGAGGATTAATAAGCATTTATAACTCCATGCAATCACTGCTGGCAGATAAAATGCCATCTGCCAGCCACAATTTATTTATAATGGGGTTTATACATATTTATAAGTCTGCAGGCAACAAATGCACAGTTTTAAAACTGGCACATTTTATAGGAGCCAGATAAATTGCAACTTTATACCAGGACTGGTGAATATCAGTCACATACGTATGTACATACACACACGTACACATACCTACACTGAGGACGATGGACATGCGGCTGTCTGGACGTGTGCACGTGCAGGCTGGCTGTGCGACCTGCACCTCGGGACTCCTCCTTCGGTATTTTAACTAACAAGGACAATGAAAAATTTGGGGACTGACAGATCCTGGCATCTGCAGACGCGTGGAGGAGGGTCCAGGATGCCGCAGGACGTGGGGCCTGAGTGCAGACAGAGCAGGAACAGAACAGGAGGGCCATGAGGGCCACTGTGGGAAATGACGGAGGGACAGGGGGGAGGAGAAACCAGCGGGGGAAAGCGAGGACAGGAGACGACAGGAGGGCAGAGGAGGATGGAGGTGAGAAGCAGGGCTTGGGGGACAGGCAAGTCCAGACCTATGTCCTGCGTTCATCCAGGAGTGCATAGTGTCTGGGAGGCCAGCAAAGGAGGATGAGGAGGGCAGCATGGTGGAGGCTGTCCCCATCAGGCAGGCCCAGGCGAGCCTTGTCTTCCCCAGCGCAGCTGTGTGTGGGCACCGCTCATCAGCCTTCCTACCCAGCCAGCCTTCCCTCGGCCCCGTCTGTGCGCTGGCTCATGTGCACAGGCGCCGTGCTGGGCTCCTGGGACGCAGAGGTGAACGGGAGAGGTTATATATATAGATATACATAAATGTAACCCAGGAGGAAGTGAACACACACAGGGAGCTGCAGCAAGACAAGGTTGATGACTGGTGTGGTCAAGTTCCATAGGCCCGTGGGAGCCGGCAACCCCGCTGGGTCTGGGGAGTCTGAAGGTTTTGCCGGCTGGGCGGCAGATGGGACGGGGGTGGTGGAGCAGGCAGACAAGGCGTGGGACACACTCGTGCCGCGTGATGGCCTGTGTCAGGAGGGATGCTGGGCGGGTGGTGAGACTGCCCCACGTCACTTCTCTCCCCCTTGCTGCGTTCACAGACACCCTGAATAAGTGACTCCCTGGGGCCCAAACGCAAGGCTGTCTCCTGAGGGCTGGGAGAGTCATTCTCATGGAACGAAAGAGTCAGAAACGAAATCGCACACAAGTTTAAGTTTCTGTTTTGTTGTTTCACCTTAAAATGCTGTAGGTAGAAAACTAGGCCCTTCGGGGACAGGCTGGGGTCCTGAATGTCTGAGGTAATTAATGCACACTCGTCTGGGACACTTACCACAACCAAAGTTCCTGACCACAAAATCAAGTGACAACCAACACAGCAGGAATTCACGGTGGAGTCCATCTTTGAACACTGAATTACCTTCTTCTGTAACAACTGTGTGTCGGTCGCAAATGGAATGTTCTCTGTTCATCTGACTTTTGAATATAACTTGTTCCAGAAAAAAATCTTGTAACATTAAGTATGTGAATGTTTTGTGTATTCAGAATTAAACAGCTGATGTTTCAATCTAAGGGTTAGGAGAGAACTCCATGTGAATTTAATGGGTAACAGTAGGATATTTACTACTTTTTAAAAAGCATTTAGATGGCAAATTATACATATTGATAAATACTATTTGAAAATTTTGTGTTTTGTTTTCCACTAACTTTTGTGAAACAAAAAACAATCGCTGTAAAGCTCTCTGTCCGGCTTTACTGCCAGCTCACCACCTTCTACTTTAATATCAGAACAGGACTGGCCTGTGGACATTCCCGAGGAGAGGAAAGACAAACCGATTTCAAGTTTTCTAATCTCTGTTCTAAGAAAAACAATAAAACCTAAGTTATTTGGCCAACATTTGGGAGATTGGACAATACAGTGGGTGAAAATATGCTAAAATTCCCTCCTCACCTTTGGTGAAGCCACTTCACTCCTTCGGGGATGAGGCAGCTTCCTTGCGAGCCCTCCACGGCACACCTGGCACATCCCCAGGCCTCCGGGGTAGCAGGTGGAGGTGCCGCATGGCGGCCCCACGTGGCCCAGGAGCGGAGGCTGGCACACCCACGCAGACGACGCTGTGCTTGTTCTCACCGCTGGTGAACGGAAAATGTGCCTTCATTTTGGGAACAGTGGTGTGTGCATCTCTGATTATGTAGCAAACCCTTTGATATTTGACTTAGATACTAAAAACATCAGAGCGTTGAGGTTTTGCTCTCGTAGATACAATTTAAAAGCATGGACTTGGTAATTTAATTAGAAGTTTTCTATAAAATATATCTTGTTACATTTCTGTGAAAGGCTCTTTACCAGCACAGACTAACCGTGGGTCGTGGGTCGTGGGTCGGGGCAGAGAGAAACAGCTGTTTCCTATGGAGTTCGTTGTTACAGTGACTGTCATTGTAAGTCTGTGGGCAATAAAGGATTGTGTGAAAAGTCTCTCATTTGGATGGTGGATCTCGTATTGCCTCACCAAGTGGCGGGGGGAGGGGGCGTCTGAAACCTTTGCACAGAAAGCAGATGTCCTGTTATTCCCCCGGAGACTTCTTAAAACCCAGTCACAGCAGAGCCGCCCCCATCCGCCAAGGGTGCAGACGGAATGGCGGCCTTGACGCGGACTGGAGTTGACTTCTGCCTCGGCAGCTGCGCACAGAATCAAAGGTAGGAGGCCTGTGGTCTCCGATCGTGCTGGAGAGATTTCTTCGTGAATGTCACCACCAGACTAACTGTGCCCAACCAGGCCTCTCTGTAGAACACCAGGCAGACACACACACACACACGCGCACGCGCCCCACGCACAGGCTGAAACTTCCCACTGGTGAGGGGGGAGGCTGGGCAAGGGTCGGTTCTGACCTCTTCTCTCCTGCTGCTGATGGAACAGGACCAAACATCCTGCCTCTTTTGGCTCTACTTTGACCATCATGACTCTGATAATCGTCTCCCCATCCAAAGGGCAGTCCATTGACCTTCCTCCAGTCTCATCTACCATATTGGTGGAATAGCGCCCAATGCACATAGCTTCACCAGACAGCAGCTAGGCCGGTAGAGAAGTGAAGGGTGGGAGGATTATTGGGGTTTCCTTCCTGGAGAAACACGGCACCAGGTGGGAAGCCAGGCTGCCCCCTCGCACGCCCCAGGGCTGGTCCTCGTGCAGACAGCCCCCAGCACAGACTGCCAACAATGGGTTTGTACAAAGACTTTTGGTTTTATTTTCTTAACAGACATACATGGGACACAGTACAGGTTCCTAACGGAATGAGGTCTAATGCACAGGTTCTCTGTGGCTCTGAAACACTCAACTTCTAAATGGTCCCCAGCTAGCTAGTTAGGCTGTACACACTGGGATTAAAGTCAATTATTTCTACATATGTCGAACGAACACAATTCCTTTTTTTTGGAGTAGTCTTCATTCAGATTGCCTGACAGTTTTGCGTTATCTCAGAGGGAAGTTGGGGTTATCACTCTGAGTGTTATGAATATTACCGCCAGAGACGCAGGGCCCTGAAAGCAGCTCAGAACCACGATGGAAAGTTCTAAAGGCATTTCATTACCTGTGTGAGAATGTAGTGCCAACATTTGGGCTCTCAGATGCATTTTTTTGTTTTCTTAATCAAGTACCTTAATGCTTAACTTTTCTAGAAACACCCTGGGTTTCTGGTGCTATTTGATAGGAGAAGCAGCTCCTTTTGTGAGTAGAGAAGGCAAGAAAAACGCCACGGATGAGCATCCTTACAAATAGGATTGATCTCGTTGGTACCAAAACTGAGGGAAGTCTTTGGTCAACGCACCGAGGTGACTCAGGACCCACAGAAATGCTCCTTGACAAGAGGCACTCACATCCAATGACAAACAGGACTCGCTTTCTCTCCAAAAAGTTAATGTATTAAAACTACTCTTTTAGTCTTTACTCAGGCAAAATTCTCAGTGAACCTCAAAAACTTCCAGGGGTCTGATGTGAGGTTTACTCAAGTAAGAATCCTTTTGAAGGTCGCTTTGTTTTTGTTTTTACACAGAACTCAACACATCAACTACGGGCTTACGAGAGCTCTGCAGACGTGTGTGTTTCAGGAGTTTGCATTGCGTTAGAATCCTCGGGGTCGTCTCAGGCGTCCCCCGTAAGGCAGACAGGGCCATCCAGGGGCAACCCACGGGAGAAGGGAGAGGACAGTACTGTGGACAGATCGTGACATTTCTTTGAAGAAGGCACAGCCCAACACAGGTTAGCTCCTCTTCTGACCACTCCACTGCTTTACCGGTCAGCGTGCCAGTCCACTGTCCAGGAGCCGTGTGGCTGCTGACGGCCCAGCTCGTCGGCTGTGACAACACGGGGCTTATAGACGTGTTGCTTTTCTGATACGGAATCAAACTCAACGCAGGATCAAAGTGCTGGCCGGGAAATTCTCCTAATTCAACAGAGACCTTCCATTACACGGACCACTGCTTCCGTGACACGGAAAGACGCACCGGCCGGGCCGTCCTCTGCTCTCCTGGGCAGGTTCTCCGTTGGTCTCGGGCACAGCTCCCGGAAGACCTTGGGAGGCTTTTCTGTGATTTGGAGAAACCCCTAAACAATCACATAATTTGGCTAATTTGGCTTTTAGATGTGCTTAAAACTGCACAGGGACACAAGGTGGGAGAGGAGCGGGGGCCCCTCAGGAGACCCGCACCCACAGACCTCACTGGTTCTCCCCAGGGTCCTTCAGACACTGACTTGCTCAGGGGCAGGCACGTCTCAGGACTGTTTTCGGTGATTCCCACACATCCGGGGCCAGCCCCGGACAAGGCCTTTTTGGGAATTTGGGTGCTCAAAGCATGCCTAACCTGGGACTTCATGTCCATCTGAGGAGACTGGGACGGCGTGTCCACTCAGCTCCCAGCCGTCTCTGTGCGCCTGGTGGTCCAGGCGGAACACAGCTGCACCATCTGTTACATGACTGTGCCGCCTGCACAGCTTATATGTGCACCGACGGCAGACCTTTGAAACACAAGTGCTGCAAACACAGGCATGATAATGCACAGCAGCCCTTCTTGCACAGTCCGTGTCGTGTAAAGTCACTAAACATCACCCTGCTGTTCTGGGAAACATTGTACACTGTGTGCCCACGACCTCCACTCTCTGGGAGCAACAGAGGGCGGCCGGTGGGATTCCGGGGAAGGCAGCCACGATGACAGCAGCTCGCTACATTCGGAAGACTCTGGAACAAGTCGAAACATGCATGCTGTCTACACTGAAATGACTCGGCAGTTCCTTGGGTCCCCTCCTTAAGAGACGTCCACACCAGGCAGGCTGTTGGCAAAAGAGATTTCCTGAGCCGCCACGGGTGAGGTGTGCAATAAATAAGATGGCAGCCACAGGGCAGGGGGCCACTCCTCCCGTGGCCGTGGCAGGGTCCCCGTTCCTCGAGGCCAGCGCCCTCACTTGCAGAGGATCCCATTCGGCAGGGTTTTATTTTTGTCGGTTATGCAGGGCGGGGCAGCCAGTGGGGGAGGGTCTTCCTTGCTCTTGGAGGACGGGCTGCTGTTGTTGCTGCCGCTGGATTTGCTCCTGCTGGGATCGAGAGCGGGCTGGACGGGCGAGGAGCTGGTGCCCCGGCCCCGGACCAGGCAGGTGCAGACCAGCCGGAAGAAGGCTCGGCGCATCTCCTTGCTAGCCAGCGTGTAGATGACAGGGTTCATGGCCGAGTTGAGCACCGCCAGCGCAATGAACCACTGGGCCTTGAACAGCACAGCGCACTCCTTCACCTTGCAGGCTACATCGATGAGGAAGAGGATGAACAGCGGGGACCAGCAGGCGATGAATACGCTCACCACGATCACCACGGTCCGCAGCAGGGCCATGGACCGCTCCGAGTTGTGGGGGCTGGCCACCCTGCGGCTGCTGGACTTCACCAGGAAGTAGATGCGCGCATACAGGATCACGATGGTCACCAGGATGGCCATGAAGACGCTGATGCAGAAAGCGATGTACCTCTTGGAATAGAGGGGCAGGATGGTGGAGCATTCGGGGAGGTTGCGAAGGCAGTTCCAGCCCAGGATGGGTAAGGCGCCCAGCGAGAACGCGATGAGCCAGCACATCCCGATCAGGAGGAAGACTCGGTACTTCTTGTTGGCGTCGTACGGCCTCATTTTGATCATGGTCAGGTGCCGCTCGATAGCGATGGCCAGCAAGCTGCAGGTGGACGCCCCGAGGGCCACAAACATGCTGCCCTCCCGTAGGAACCAGACCGTCAGAGACAGGCTCAGCGTCTTCTTGCCTGACATCAGAATGTTGACTGTGTAAGCGACGCCGGCCAGCAGGTCGCAGAGGGCCAGGTTGCCGATGAAAAAGTACATGCGGTTGTGAAATTTATTGTTTTTCCAGATGGCAATGAAGACCATCAGGTTCTCCAGGACGATGAAGCTGCAGACGATTAAGAACAGCACGGTGGTGAGGGTGCCGCCCTCGGGCGTGTCCCTCAGCCTGCCCTCCAGCTTGCCCACGTAGTTGTAGTGTGTGCGCAGGACCTCGTTCCAGGGGGTGGGTCCGGGGTGTGGAGGCGGGACCGTCGCCATCACTTGGAACTCACGGTGGGTTAGCTCCAGAACCCAGCAGAGGGCGCCCTAGGCACGCCCATGTCCCAGGAAACAAAGACTGCGGCCCAGGCTTCAGTGAGGACTGGGCAGACCCCAGTGAGGGTGCTGAGGACAGGCTCCTGCAAAAGACAGAAAGAGGGGCGCCTCGTGGTTAGGTAACACGGCCGGAGAGCAACGGCAGCAGCGAAGCTGGAAGAAGGCAGCAGATACGCTGCTGCACTGGGCCCGGGTGACCACGGAGAGATTCGGCTCTGCAGCTGCCAGGAGGGAAATTTGGTGCAGGGGCCATGGTCATCAACCGTGCGACTGTAACAACGACACAGACCCAGTGAGACTTCCCTCTGGAAATCTCAAGGCACTGCAGCGCGCCACCAGCTCATCCTCCTCTCGCGCACAGGAGCTGCCAAACCATTATTCCCAGTGACCAAGAAACAGGACTGTCTCAGGTCAGAAAAATAGGATGGAACCTGGGAGATGCCCGCCCCACGTCTGAGGCCTCCCTGGGGAGCTTGGGAGCGACATCGTGGAAGCACCCACACTGCCCAGACGGCCTCCCCGGGACCAGGCCAGAAATTGGGTCCAGAGGTCTGCCGGGCAGGAGAGCCCTGGGACAGGACCACATGGCCGCCTCCCCGGTGAACAGCTGAGCTGGGAGGGAATACAAACCCGTGAAAAGTGGAATCACCTTCTCCAGAGATGACGGGACCAGAAAGCAGGGACAAGCACACGGACTTTGAGTGTGGCTTAAAATTCAGCAAACTGCATATTAGATTAACTGTCAAAAACCAAATCTGGGCCGGGAGCTGAGAGAGAGTGAAGGCGGGGACCCCAGGAGCCCGGCCCTCCACCGCCCTGAGTTTTAATGCTTCTC